GTTGCCATTCGACGCCCCAATATTGTTCACACAGTGATGCAATTTGGGCTAACCAACACACATGACAATGGACGAGGAATTGAAGCCGTTGTTGTCAAACTCATGTTATAGCCTGTTTAGGCTGTAGTGGGTTAGACAATAGGGGGTACAACATTTCTAGGTTTCCCTATTTGTACCCATCTCATTTCTAGTCATTTCCATTCCTCGTTATTATTCTCACATGGTATTAGAGCAGAATCGTTCCTAGGGCCCACCGAACGTTCCGCCCTGCCCTAACTGAAATATGTTTTTTTAGCTGCCCCTACACCTGTGCCTGCCCCTGCAGCCGTGCCTGCCCCTGCAGCCGTGCCTGCCCCTGCAACCGTGCCTGCCCCTGCAGCCCATGGGCGCTGCCTCTGCAGCCGTGCCTACTCCTGCAGCCCGTGGACGCTGCCCCTGCAGCCGTGCCTGCCTCTGCAGCCCGTGGGAGCTGCCTCTGCAGCTCGCGCGCCGCCCTAGACCTTGCTCGTCGCGACGCCCCTGCGGGACCCGCGCGGCGTCCCCCCCTGCTCGTCGCGGCGCCTCCCTGGACGCCGCCCCTACTCGTCGCGGCGCCCCCGGGGCGTCGCCCTTACTCGACCTACCCACCCATCGCGGCCCTGCCCTGCACCCGCCCCTGGTAAGCGCCCCTGCTGCCCGTCGCGTCGCGCGCCCCTACTGCCCGCCGCGCCGTGCGCCCCTGCAGCCCGTCCCGTCACACGCCCCTGCAGCCCGTCGCGTCGCGCGCCCCTGCAGCCTGTTGCGTCGCCCGTCGGCCCTGCCCGTGCCCGTCGCGTCGCCAGAGCGGGCTGCCCCAGCCCGCCGCGGCGCCCGTCCGCCCTGCCTGCCTGCGCGCCGCCCATGCCCGCCCCGCGACGCGCCGCCCCGTGCAAGCCGCCCGCGCGCAGACCCTTGCAGCCCGCGCGCCGCCCGTCTGCAGCCCGCGAGCCTCCCCTGCAGCCCACCAACCGCCCCTGCAGCCAGCGCGCCTGCCTCTTGCAGCCAGCGCAATGCCCCTGCAGCCCGCGAGCCACCCCTGCAGCCCGGGAGCCACCCCTGCAGCCCGCGAGCCGCCTCTGCAGCGCCGAGTGCGCCCTGCCAAACCCTAAAATAAATAACTCATTATTTGAAAAAAAAAAAAAAAAAAAAGAGGAGCCCTAGGTGCTGCTGCCCTAGGTGCTACTGCTGCTGCTGCTGCTACTGGCGGTGGCCAGATGCAGCTCCAGCGACGTCCGCGTGAGTCCCTCACGCCCCAGCAGCTTTGTGAGAGGTACGCTAGTTGGGGTTGTAGGGGTGGCCGCGCTGCTACTGCTACTACTGCTGCTACTGCTGCTACTGCTGCTACTGCTGTTCCTGCTTCTACTGCTGCTACTGCGGCTACTACTGCTACTGGTGCTCCTGGCGGTGGCCAGATGCAGCTCCAGCGCAACCGCGTGAGTCCCTCACGCCCCAGCAGCTTCGTGAGTGGTACGCTAGTTGGAGTTGTAGGGGTGGCCGTGGTGGGAGTCGCCCTGGAGCTGGTCGTTCGGGAGTTTTTTGTAGTGACCAGGTGCAGCTGCAGCAGCGTCTGCGCGCGGTTCTTTCGCCCCATCAGCTTCGTGAGTGGTACGCTTAGAGTGGAGGGTCACAGAGTACTGCTCGCTGCCCATACGTCATTCGCACTGGTGCTCGGGCTGGTCAGCCTTGCGGGACGATTGGTCACACAGAGTCCCGCTGCTTCTCCCGTCTGAGCGACGCCTGGCGTACAGAGTTTGGCGACGCGGCTGAGCTCCCCGACTGGGTGGAGCTGCTTAGGCAGAGGGTAGATATCTATGCTCTTGACTATGATGCTATCCTCACTGCCATGTATGCATTGCCTACTAGTACTGAGGGTGCCTGTTACCTGTGTGTTCCGCCCGACCCGGGCATTGAGGCTGCTGCTCTAGGTGCTAGTGAGTCTGCTGCTCCAGGTGCTGGTGAGGCTGCTCTCTCAGGTACCGCGTCGGCTCAGGTCTTGCACACTTTCACCCTTGACTCGGGTGCTTCCCGCTCCTTCTTTCGCGACTGCACCACACTCTCGCCGCTCAGTCGGCCTGTGGCAGTCTCTCTGGCTGACCCCTCTGGGGGACCAGTTGTGGCCCGTTCCTCCACTGTTCTCCCGTGTCCTGCGGCTCCGTCCGGCTCGCTGTCTTGTCTTCACCTCCCCTCGTTCTCTACGAACTTGGTGGCGGGTGCTGATCTTCAGGATGGGGGTGTTCACCAGTTCACCCCTGCCTATCAGCGTGTGACGCACTGCACGTGTGCTCGAACAGGCCGTAACCTGGCCACGTTCACCCGTCGGCCAGGGTCCAGCCTGTACACCCTTACCACTGAGTCTCCTCCTGTCACTGCGACTGGTCAGGTAGCCGCGTCTGGTCAGGTGTTTGCATCAGCGTCGCGGTCTGGCCCTGAGTCTGCCCCCTGCTCGTATCGCCTCCTGTCTCACGAGACTCTCCTTTGGCAGCACCGCCTTGGTCACCCCTCCCTGCCTCGTCTTCGAGGCATGGCCTCCCGTGTCCTTGTCTCAGGTCTGCCCCCTTCCCTCCCTCCCCTTCCTCCGGGGCCTGCCCCTACCTGCGTTCCCTGCGTCGAGGGCCGGCAGCGCGCTGCTCCTCACTCCTCCGAGTTTCCTCCGACAGAGGCTCCCCTGCAGACTCTTCACATGGACGTGTGGGGCCCAGCCCGCGTCCGTGGACAGGGTCACGAGCGTTACTTCCTGCTGGTTGTTGACGACTACTCGCGTTACACCACGGTCTTCCCCTTGCGCCGCAAGGGTGAGGTCACTGAGGTGTTGATCGACTGGATCCGCGCTGCTCGTCTCCAGCTCAGAGAGAGTTTCGGCTCGGACTTTCCTGTTGTGCGTCTGCACTCAGACAGAGGTGGAGAGTTTTCCTCCGACCTTCTGAGAGCCTTTTGTCGGGCGGAGGGCATCCGCCAGACGTTCACGCTTCCGGCCTCTCCACAACAAAATGGGATTGCTGAGCGCCGCATTGGCATGGTCATGGATGTCGCTCGTACGTCCATGATCCATGCGGCTGCTCCCCATTTTCTGTGGCCGTTCGCGGTTCAGTACGCGGCGCATCAGATCAACCTCCAGCCCCGGGTCTCCATGCCGGAGACCACCCCCACTCTTCGGTGGACGGGGAAGGTTGGCGATGCGTCTGCGTTCCGTGTCTGGGGATCTCGAGCTTTCGTCCGCGACTTGTCTGCGGACAAGCTGTCCTCCCGTGCCGTTCCCTGCGTCTTCCTTGGCTTCCCCCCTGACGCGCCTGGTTGGCAGTTTTACCACCCCACATCGCGCCGTGTTCTGTCCTCTCAGGACGTCACGTTTGACGAGTCGGTTCCTTACTACCGTCTCTTCCCCTACCGCACTGCCCCCCTCCCCCCCTCGCCGCTCTTCCTCGCGCCAGGTACTCCTCCGGTAGACCCCCTCCCCCCTCAGGGTCCTGCCCCCTCAGATGTGTCTCAGGTAGACGCAGTTGAGCCTGTTGAGGTAGCTGTTGACTCTGGTGCTGCTCGGGGTGCTGAGCCTGCGGGTGCCGGGTCTGGGGGTGCTGAGCCTGGGGTTGCTGATTCTGGGGGTGCTGAGCCTGGGGGTGCTGAGCCTGGGGTTGCTTAGTCTGGGGGTGCTGAGACTGGAGGTCCTCCGAGTGTCCCGTCGCGGCGGGAGCCCCTCTCTCCACGGCAGCTTCGTGAGTGGTACATTCGGCGCTGTAGCCGTGCTGCTGGAGCTGCTGGTGGTGCTACTGGAGGTGCTGCTGGAGCTGCTGGTGGTGCTACTGGAGGTGCTGCTGGTGTTGGAGCTGCTGGAGGTGCTGCTGGTGCTGGAGCTGCTGGAGGTGCTGCTGGTGCTGGAGCTGCTGGAGGTGCTGCTGGTGCTGGAGCTACTGGAGGTGCTGCTGGTGCTGGTGCTGCTGGAGGTGCTGCTGGTGCTGGAGCTGCTGGAGGTGCTGCTGGTGCTGGAGCTGCTGGAGGTGCTGCTGGTGCTGGAGCTGCTAGTGTCGCTGGTCCTGGAGGTACTCGTACTGGAGGTACTTGTACTGGAGGTACTGGAGCTACTGGGACTGGAGCTGCTGCGGGAGTTGGAGCTGGAGGTGCTGGAGGTGCTGGAGCTGCTGGTGGTGCTGCGGGAGTTGCAGCTGGAGACCCTGGAGCTGAGGGTGCTGGTGCTGTCTCTGCTGGGTCAGGAGGTGCTGCGCGGCCGCGGCCGTACTACGTTCCGCTCCTTCAGCAGGTTCTTGGCCTCCCGCCATCTCCTGGTCCCACTCCTCCCCTACTGAGTCCACCGCCTGTCCAGTCGCAGTCACAGTTACAGCTAGCCTCTCCGCTGCCTGGTCCTTCTCCTTACGCAGGGCCGACTAGAGGTCTTACGGAGCGTCGTGAGCCTGAGTCTCGTCCTGCGTCGCCTGAGTCTCGTCCAGAGTCGCCTGTCCGCGCTATCCGCACTGGTCGTCGTGTTCCGCGTCAGCGTCCTCCTCCTGTCCCTGGCACTCACTATATGACTCTGCGTCCTTCCACTGCTCCACAGCGTGTCCCTCTTCCGTCTCCTCCTGCTTCCTCTCTTCCTGACGGTCCGGACCCGGAGTCTGACTCTCTTCGTGCTGCAAGACCTACTGTCACGCGTTTCCTCGCCACTGTTGTCACTGACCCTTCCTTTGAGTCCACTGCTACGTCTGCTCTAGTCGCTGAGCTTGTTGACTTTGTTGTTGCCTGTCGTCTAGACTACGCCGCTAGCCTTGTTGCTGAGTCTGAGTCTGTCTGTCCTCCGTCCGTCGGGGGTGAGTGTGCTCTTGGCACGGACGTCCTTGAGGACAGACAGGAGGAGTTTGAGTGCTTTGCCGCTGCTTTACCTCATCTCGTGTCCATGCTGATTGCCCCGGAGCCATCCCATCCGCCTCCATGCCAGTGAACGCCCACTCGTAACAGTGAATCGGTATTGAATTAACAGAGAAACTTACACACACCTCCTTGGCCCGCCCATAAGCGTTGATCTTCACAGAGAAGGAGATCAAATCTGGAGCTATCCCGTCCGCCTCCATGCCTGTGAAGGCTCGCTCCATCTCCCCCAGCCGCCCGTCCTTGCCGAACCTCTCCACCAGCTTCGTGTAGTCCCGAGCGTCAGCCTCGTACCATTCCTCCGATAGAGACCACTGCATGACCTGCGAGTGGGGTATGTGGGATCATGAGATGTGTGACACAGTGGTGTGGGTGGAGGGGGAAAGTGGGTAACGGCTTTTGAGGCGCCAAAAAAAATAAGAGATGTGTGACATGGTGGTGTGGCTGGTGGGGGGAAGTGGGTAAGGGGAAAGGGGAAGCGGGAAGGAGGAAGGGGGAAGGGGGAAGGGGGAAGGGGGGAGGTGGGTGCGAGTAAGGCAGGGCCAAGAAATCGTCAGCCTTGTACCATTCCTCCGATAGGGACCACTGCATGAGCTGCAAGCGAAGCACGTAGGATTATGAGATGCGGACATAGGTGAAGGGGGGAATGGTGAAAGAAAGGGGACGGGAGGGAAGAGGGTGCGGGGTGGAAGGGGGAACGGGTAAGGGGGAAGGGGGGAGGAGGGTGTGAGTAAGGCAGGCCTAAGGGAGAGGCAGCCTAAGCCATTCCCCCGAGGGGGGCCACTGTATCACCTGCAAGGGACGGGGGCCATGAGTTGTGTGACATACAGGCGCGAGTTTTGAGACGTCTCAAAACTGGACCACACCACTGTATCACCTGCAAGGGACGGGGGCCATGAGTTGTGTGACATACAGGCGCGAGTTTTGAGACGTCTCAAAACTGGACCACTGTATCACCTGCAAGGGACGGGGGCCATGAGTTGTGTGACATACAGGCGCGAGTTTTGAGACGTCTCAAAACTGGACCACTGTATCACCTGCAAGGGACGGGGGCCATGAGTTGTGTGACATACAGGCGCGGTTGGAGGGGGGACGGGGGAAAGGGGGATGGGAGGGAGGTGGGTGTGAGAAACACAGGCCTTGTACCATTCCTCTGATAATGACACTGCATGATCTGCAGCAAGCGGAAATGACAAGGATTATGGCAATGCAAGGTGGACCAGGGAGAAAGGAGGTTTGTGGCGAAGTTGGGTGATTTTGAGAATTCTCAAAATCAACCTTTTGAAAAAGTTGGGAGGAGGGGGCCGGGGTGGGAGTCGGAGGGGAAAAGTGTGAGAGGCATGTTTTGAGTCGACTCAAAACACGACTCATTACACGGGGTGGGAGTCGGAGGGGAAAAGTGTGAGAGGCATGTTTTGAGTCGACTCAAAACACGACTCATTACACGGGGTGGGAGTCGGAGGGGAAAAGTGTGAGAGGCATGTTTTGAGTCGACTCAAAACACGACTCATTACACGGGGTGGGAGTCGGAGGGGAAAAGTGTGAGAGGCATGTTTTGAGTCGACTCAAAACACGACTCATTACACGGGGTGGGAGTCGGAGGGGAAAAGTGTGAGAGGCATGTTTTGAGTCGACTCAAAACACGACTCATTACACGGGGTGGGAGTCGGAGGGGAAAAGTGTGAGAGGCATGTTTTGAGTCGACTCAAAACACGACTCATTACACGGGGTGGGAGTCGGAGGGGAAAAGTGTGAGAGGCATGTTTTGAGTCGACTCAAAACACGACTCATTACACGGGGTGGGTGGGAGTCGGAGGGGAAAAGTGTGAGAGGCATGTTTTGAGTCGACTCAAAACACGACTCATTACACGGGGTGGGTGGGAGTCGGAGGGGAAAAGTGTGAGAGGCACAGCAGCTCCCTGGCATCCGCAGTGTCAGTCTCTTTGATCGTGTCAATCGAATCATGAGAAATCCATCCTCGTTATTGTCAGACCCACCCACCTGGCACAGCAGCTCCCTGGTATCAGCCGTGTCCAAATCTATAATCGTGTCAATCAAATCACAATCATTTTTCCAGGTATCCTCGTTATTGTCAGACCCACACACCTGGCACAGCAGCTCCCTGGTATCAGCCGTGTCCATCTCTTTGATCGTGTCAATCAAATCCCGGCGGTGCGGCCGCACGCCCTTCACCCAGCTGAGGGGATGGGGGGGGGGGTGGGCACAAACGCAGACATGCACAAGAGGGACGGCAGGGGGGATGGGGGAAGGCAGGGGGGATGGGGGAAGGCAGGGGGGATGGGGAAAGGCAGGGGGGATAGGGGAAGGCAGGGGGGATGGGGGAAGGCAAGGCGATGGGAAAAGGCAGGGGGGATGGGGGGAGGCAAGGCGATGGGAAAAGGCAGGGGGGATGGGAGAAGGCAGGGGGGATGGGGGACGGCGAAGCAACGCAAATGTATCTACTGGCTTAGGAACGAAAACTTCAAGCGTACATGGCACACATTCACCTATATGTAACAAGGAATATGTGATATGTAGTTTTACTAATGCCGTACTTTTCGAGCCTCTGATGCAGCTCATCCTCGTTAGCAGGCGGCTTCGTTTTCAGCTCCTTAATAAGCACCAGCGCCTTGCGTGTGACGCGTCCAGAGACTAGAGGACGCGCTTCCGGCCATTTCCGACGACGATGCGCCGTGCCGGCCGCTAGCGCCACTGGCGCCATGCCGGCCGCACGGACGATCACTGGAGACCATTGATTTTCTGCCTGGCAAACATCCAGCCGTCGATTTTGACATCTGCCTGATAGCTGTAGTTTTGAATCGGTAACGAATCCGTCTTTAACGAAGCATGAATTGAGAGACGCTAGCAAGCTTCGCGTGAGAATGGCTGCGAGAGCTGGCATTTCGAAACGCGGCTTCTGAATAACGAGCGGAACGAGGCTACACCCGCAAACACGATTCGCAAGCAGCTGAGGGTCAGCGTATCGACGATTTTCGCAGGTTTCGTGAATGAAAGACAGCGACTGCTACACTCAGTAGCTTTCGAGACGTGTAGAAACAAGTCACGGGGTTCTACGAATCCGTGAAAGGAGAACGGCGGCTAGATGCTTTATTGGCGATAGAATCACGGGTGGCGTCAACAAAGAGAGGAACAAACGAGAGGGGATTCGCAATGGCTCATCTAAGGTCAGAGTTTATCGCCTTGCAATAGACGAGCTACAGCGAATTCAGGGAGGGAAATGAGCAGACGAGCTGAAAAAAAGGATCTAGTGAAAGGTGAAGCGAAGGTGAATATTCTCGTGAGAAGGTGAAAATGAGGAGCAGGCCTGTCGATTGACGGGCATATGCCCTTAATGCCCTGAACATTAAGGGCTAGTTTCGCTCCAGCTCCAATGCGTCTAAGTTTTTGTTTCGCACCCCACCCGTGCCACTAAGTGCTTCATTCGACCCTTGCCCGGATGCGTTAAGGGACTAAACCAGGCCTTCCCCTTTATCTAAGTTTTGGTTTCAGATCGTAGGACCCCCCCCCCCCCCCTCCCCCCCCTCTTTCTCCTTAGCCTGCACTAGAGCGCGCCAAGGGGGTATTGTCCCTTAGCGTTTTGTAGCCAATCCCGTGTGTGTAGCGTGTCTCTCAGTCAGCCTAGGAGCACCCGCACATTCCCTTAGCGTCCAATACGAGCTGGCCGCAGTGTACAGCTGTGACACATGGGATTATCTTGGGTAAATCTGGCTAAGTTGTTTGGCCACAGAGACATCTAAGACACTAAACCACAGCACGTCAAAGGAACTGAAGCACTCCAGCGCAGCAGCTCCCTCCCTCACCACCTTCATTCGTGCGAGCCACGATTCCTCTCCACCACCATGCAATCCATCCACCACCACATCCCACCCATGTTTTCTCTTCCGCACCGTCCCACCACCTCCACGGTATCATCCACCCAAGCCCTCAGCTCTCCCCTCCCCTCTCGTACGTGCCATGCTATGGCACTTCTCCTCCACCCAACCACTCTGCCGAGTAAACCTCGCGTCGCCTAGCTCACGCACGCGATGTTTATAGTATGGGTAGCTAACCCGTTCGCTTCGTCAGCCACATTCTCCCACAATGGATCCTAGCGAGGGTGAAACCCCTCCTCCAGTTTTGCCCATGTCGAACGTTAGTCATTCTCATACTACGACCGAGACCGAGCCTTACGTACCCTCGGATGCTGAAGACATGCTAGACGTAGCAATCTCAGTGTTGGACCCGCGCCTCGCCCAGCAAGCATCATCGTCACAGACTACACCTCTGTCAGCAGCCCGCTACCGTCAGGTTCACCTTAGCTTCGCAAGTCCGCCACCAGATTCGCGAAAGCGCGCACGAAGCGTACCGCCTGAAACCTGCAAAAGCTGAGATCGAGCTCCACGAGGACATCATCGACCCTGAAAACCCGGGGGGGGGATGCGACTTGGAGGCCTGCGTGGACCTGGCGCGGCGTTTCGCTCAGCGCCTGATTAAGGCGCTGGGGAAGAGGATGGCGGACCTGCGCCATTTCGATGGTGTTGGGTTTTTCACCCCTGATAAGTATCCCTTCCGTGCAGGAGAGCAGGACACATGGCTGCAGCACCATCTCACCGAGCTCCTGGACATGTTCAAGAACCAGCTACCTGGTAAGCCTAGATTAGTATGAAAGGAACCCACGTACGTTCTAACTTTGTACGTATTATGCTCACACAATGACGTAATCTAACTTTGTATATGTCCTTGGCAGGAGTCGCTCTTGCTGACATAGAGCCGCAGATGCACCTCTTCACAGCCACCATGGAGAAGAAGTTCAAGAAGCAGAGCTTCCATCAGGCTCTCACCAACATGCTGCGCACTGCAGACTGGAAGGATGACTATCCCACCATAGTCTCTCTCTGGCGTGCGGTCTCTGTGTTGCCCCTCAGCACTGTTGAGTGTGAGAGGGGCTTCTCCCGCCAAAACATTATTAAGTCGTGGGATCGTGTTGCTCTTACTGATGTTAGGCTGGGGGAGCTGATGACGGTGAAGATGCTAGACTACCCGGTGGACTGGGCAGCGGCCTATGCCTTGTTTGAGGATAAGGGGAGGAAGGGGAGGAAGCCTGCCAACTAGGCTCGCATTGGATGTCGGGTTAGAGTAGAGTAGCTGAGCTCTGCATGCCATATCTGTAGTTAGTGTAGAGAATAAGAACTTTGCAGGCTAGGTAGGTTTTATGACTATTTAAGACATGTGTAGTGTTAGGTGTCTTTGACTTCTAATTTAAGTACATAACAGCACTTATCATAGTAAAATGAAGTGTAAGTGCAAACTTCAAACATGCCCTGATTTCAAGTTCTGACTTTGGGGTGCGCCCGTGACCCTTAAAGCGACGGTGCACATTTGCCACCCAAAACCCAGAACCCTGGCGAACTGTTACTGCGGATGGAAAGTGTCCGCACGAAATCCTGGTTTTCGCCAGCCAGCACTTTCGCGCTGGCAAGCCTGGTTCAAAAAAAAAAACTTCTGAACCCAACACTGCCAAAAGTTGCCCGTCGCTTTAAGGGCGCCAAAACGCTCACCTACCCCCAACCAAGGGTCAGATTGGGAGGAGCTGGGGAGCGCAAGTACGAGCCCCAGGAACTTCGACAGGCCTGATGAGGAGCGAGAGAGGTTAGGGGAAGATAATTCCGAAGCAAAGCATCTCACCGCACTGAACCGATTTATCGGGTGTTTTGGGATGATCAGGATTACGAAAATCAGCTACCCGAACTTTCTACGCCTCGCAACCAATCAGTGGCAAATTGGGATTATCCTGGTGTAACATCCAATCTAAGTCCACGTGGTAATAGTGAAAGAACATTCAAGGCTGAAATTATTATTTGAATCTCATATTCAGTACAGCAATGTTTTTCAAACTTTGCCAGGATCCTTGAGTGTAAGACACATCACAGCCAGATTTTATGCGCAATCTACACCTACAGCTAAACTACCCCTCCACAAGCTCATGCTACTCCACTCGAACAGGCCGGTTTCTCTTTGGCGCTTCTGCTGCCTTGCTGCTTCCGCTCCCAGACTCACCATCTTCCCCCTTTCCTACCCCCGCCTCCTCTCCCCCAGCACCACCACCACCACCCGTGCTCTCACTCCCACCAGCAGCACCGTCAGCATCGTCGTCGACTGATGTCTTGAGAATCTGCTCTGCTTGCACCTGCCGCCTCCCCTCCCTGCCCTCCTGCTTCGCCATCTGCTGCAGCACCGATGCTACCTCCTCCTCCAGCCGCCCCTCCGCCTTTAAACGAGCAACCTGCATTGTAATCACATAACAGTAATCGCAGAGCAGTAATCAAAGAACAGTAACATTATATCAGTTGGACACATCTTCATGGAGCCTACGCATTTGAAGCCATTTCGAGGCAGACTTTAACACACGACGCACATAAAAAACCTAGCCATTTTAACAACTACTTATGATGTCCCCAAATTCCGTCCCCAAATAAACACCACCGAGCATACTCTTTTGCTGTACCAGCAGCTTTTGCTACATTGTAGAACCTTGACTTACTGCATTGTATACACACCATTAGCAACCACACACCTTCATGTTGATGCACAAGAACACCTTATCAGACAGCAGCTGAAAATGAAACCTAATACAACCTGAGTTCCATCAGTTCCCATCCCAACATCCCTTGTGCCACCCTCTCACAACCTCAATGGCAGCAGGGTGTAGGATGGGATACAACCTGTGAAGGTGTTTTTTTTGGGTACTTTTATTCTTCTCTTATTTCCTGCCCTTGCACCTCCGTGGCGACATCTTCACATAGCTTGAATTGATGCAGATTATAACGATTGAATCGACACAGTTTATAATACACAAACCATCCATATGCACCATGTCAAGAGCCTCTCACCATGTCAAGATCCTCTCACCTCCTTCTTGGCGTCATTCCAGAGCTTGAGCCGCAGCAACAGTCCCATGCCAATCCCACTTGTGAGTCGACTCAAACGTAACAACCCCACACCCACTCCCGCTTTTGAGTCGACTCAAAAGCAACATCCCCACTCCCACCCGCACTATTGAGTCGACTCAAAAGCAGCAGCCCCACCCCCACTCACACTTTTGAGTCTAACAAAATCAACAACCCCACACCCACTCCTGCTGTCGAGTAAACTCAAAAGCAACAGCCCCACCCCCACTCACACTTTTGAGTCTAACAAAATCAACAACCCCACACCCACTCCTGCTGTCGAGTCAACTCAAAAGCAACAGCCCCATCCCCACTCTCACTTTTGAGTCGACCCAGAAGCAACAAACCCACTCCCACTCCCACTTTTGAGTCGACTTGAAAATCGTTCCAAGAGCCTCTCACCTCCTTCTTGGCATCATTCCAGATCTTGAACCGCAGCAACAGCCCCACCCCCACTCCCACTCCACCTGTGGCTAGGGCTGCGAGAAAACAACAAAAGGAGACGGATGAATAACGAACAGAGGTGTTGGGAGAGGGATGGGGGAGGCGGGAGGGAACGGAAAGGGACAAGAGCGGAAGACGAATAATGAACACCCAGAGCGTACATTCTTTAAAATGACTCTGTTCACTCTATGGGACTCACCCACGTGTATACACCAGCAATTCACTCCACACGCGTTTGCAAAATAATCAAGCCTATTGAACACCCAACTTTTTCTGAGATTTTAACCCTGATTGAACATCCCCAGTACACTCCACAACCCATGACATCACGTTTCTATAGTTCAAGTATAGTTTTCACAACTCAGACACTCCAAGAATCCTGAACTTTTCACCCACTCTCACACCCTGCAAGCCCTGCAATTCCTCGGCCCATCAAACTTATCCACTCTCACAGCCTACAAGCGTTCCAGGACAAACCCACTGCAGCGACCATACATCATCAACTTGATACAACTCACCTGCTCCCACACACTGCAAGCCCTGCATTTCCTAGTTGAGTCTTATCAATCTCACCTGATTGAACTACCTGCCAGCCACCTATCGCGGTTCCATGACTCTCACCCACTGCAGCGATCATACATCATCAAACTTGATACAACTCACCAACTCCTACAGCCTGCAAACCCCCTGCATTTCCTCGTCAAAATCGAGCTCACCAATTGAACTATCTGCCAGCTACCCATTACGGGTTCCATGACTCACACCCACTGCAGCGAAGCGACCATACATCATCAACTTGATACAACTCACCCACTCCTTGATCCATTCCCACGGTCTGTATATCCCTGCATTTCCTCGACTTATGAAACTCACACACGCCCACCCACAGTTGTTCCAGGGGTACGAGCACTCACCCACTCCCCACTCTCTCTCTACAGTATAAGCGGAGGAGACACCCACCCGCGTGAGTACACGTGGCAGCACTCACCGACTCCCACGGCCTGTAGCACCGAGATCCAGTATGTGTCGTCCAAGCCCGCGCGAGCTGCCACGTGTCTCCTCCGCGCTGCCGTCAACGACGGCGACGATCGCGGCGAAAAATGCGGCGAACGCGCGCCGGAAAACGCTACTTGTCCGGGCTGAGCGGAGGAAACCAGGGGTGCGGCGACAAAATTCCCTGTCGAGCCGCACTTACGTGACGAAATCACGGCCGTTATTATCCTATCTTTCACCGCGCGTTGGACGGTGACAGCGTGGTCTATCGGTCGTCGATTTCTACAAGTGTCAAGCGATTGGCTGCCGAAAAAATCTGTCCGCAACGAGAATGCGGAAGGAGCTGCAGCGACTCCGACGTGGCATTTCATCGTGGCAATGGCGAGTGCCGCGTCGCACAAGGCTGGGCGGATGTAGCCTAGTTCAAGTATGTTTCGAGAATCGCCAATAGAAACTGAGCGACAAGACAGGAGTGCTTTACGCGACAGTCTCTACGACGAGCTGATGCTATGTGGGTCTTTGTGGAGACAAAACTAAGGCAGGAAAAAGAAAGGCGTGTTGTATTTGCCGATACCCTACCGAACCGATGCAGGTATCAGATTGACCGTTGTACAACGGGTAAAATCCCATTGAGCCGCAGTCGGAGGAACTCGTGAGATACGAGGGTAAAACTGGCAATCTCCATATTCATAAAGCCTGCTCTCATTGAGATTTGAACTCAAGACCTCCCGCTTACTAAACGGGTGCTCTAACCAACTGAGCTATGAGAGCTGAAGATCTGAACATAGGACAGTTTTCATTGTGTGTCTCACTCAAGCAACGTTCAAGAGCCTCGTGTTCAAAACCCTCTAGAAGATTCTGGATTCTATAAAATCCTCCATCTTCGCCATTCCTTGTCTCTCATCACCATTTCCAAAGAGACCCCTGAACCTCGCGTGCCAAGCACCGTCCTCTGCGCTGTAGCGAGCTGACCTGACCTGCTCGCCTCGACCCGCCGCCACCCACCATGGCGACGATGGAGAAGGTGCAGATCAGCGGCGACGGCGTTGAGGTAAGCCAAGCGATTTACTAATTATACTCGGGAGTGAATCTTGAGTCAGTCAGGCATTTGGGCATTTTTCCTATCCACTCGGTCGTGCACGCTTTAGGAAGGCCGAATTTTCGGTTTGGTCCACGCTGTTTTTTATTTATTTATTTATTTTTGGGCGGTCGTGCGCGTATGTCCTGCAGACGTTCGACGCGTTCGTGGCGGGCGAGGAGGGCAAGCCCGGCGTGGTGGTGCTGCAGGAGTGGTGGGGCGTCGACTTCGAGGTCAAGAACCACGCGGTCAACCTCGCTGCCAAGGGATTCCGCACGCTCATCCCCGAGTGAGTGGCGAATAAACATGATGGTTGTAAATCTAAGTGATTTTCGTTTCAACTTGAGATGCGATTCCTGATCTGACGAAGCCAGATCTGATGTGTTCGACGAGTACTGAGGTGTTTCTTGGTTGCGATTTTTTTTCGTTCCTCTGCCGTCGCAGCTTGTATGAGGGCAAGGTGGCTTTGCAGGCCGTGCAGCATTGTTAACCCTAGTCGCTTAATTTCCTTTCTGCTTTCTTCCCTGAATCTCTCCTTCGTTCGATTGCAGCCTGTACAAGGGCAAGGTGGCTCTTGAGGCCGCTGAGGCGCAGCATCTGATGGACGGCTTGGATTGGCCGACTGCCATCAAGGAGATCGGCGCCTCCGCCAAATGGCTTCTGGCACACGGCTCTAAGAAGGTAATAACCTTATTAAGCATCTCGGGTATTTTTTTTTCCATTAGCATGAAGAAACAAATGACACCATTGTTTTCTTGTCTTGTCATACATGTTTACTATTTTTATGATTTTCTTATGCATTCATGCGTTACTAATTTGTCGCATTGTTTTGTGTGTTTATGAGTCAAAATCGCCTCCTGGTCCACATTTATATCATGCGATCTCCTTGCCATTGTGTCTTCCGTGCTTGTTCCCCACAGGTCGGCGTGATCGGATTCTGCATGGGTGGCGCGTTGACTCTACTCTACTGTCGATTGCCAGCCGATTTTTGTCTCTCTTTTCCAACAAGTGTTTGTCGCTGTTCTCCTTCCCCACAGGTCGGCGTGATCGGGTTCTGCATGGGAGGCGCGTTGACGCTACTCGCCGCTATTAACGTCGATTCGGTGTCCGCAGCAGTGTCCTTCTACGGCGTTCCCGAGGCAGCTCTTAAGGAGGATGCCAAGGCGAAGGTCCCTGTGCAGGCGCATTTCGGCGAGCTCGACGGCTTCAAGGGCTTCTCAGACGTCGATGTGAGTTACCTTTAGCTTTCCTTAAACATTTTTTTAGCATTCCGTCATCATTCGTTTACCTTGACATTGCCTGCGTTCAACCTTTTAACCGTCACAGGCACTTGCTCGCGAAAGCGTGCCTAATCCTTCTCTTAATTTTCCGTCTCCTACCTATGCCCCTAACTCTGCTACAGACCGCGCGTGCGCTGGAGAAGCGTCTGGAAGCTGCGGGCGTGCCGCACGAGGTGCACATTTACCCCGGTCAGGGCCACGCCTTCGTGAACGCTTCGCCAGAGGCGAGGAAGCGAAAAGAGGGGATGGGGTTACCAGGTCACGACGAAAAGGCTGTGGAGCTGGCGTGGTCGCGTACCGTTGATTGGCTCAACAAGTATCTGTGAAGGGGAGGAGAGGAGGGGGAGGGGTGGAGGAGAGAGGAGGGGAGGGAACGGTAAGCAGTTTGTAAGAATTTGAGGGGAGCTGGATTTTTCATTGTAGCTGTAAATAGGAGAGATTTCAGATTTATTTTGCACCTTAGGTGCACTGTTGGGAGCAGATGTGATTTGAGCCGAGCTGAGTTGAGTTGAGTTGGCATTTGTGTTGAAGCAGCTTTTGAGGAGTAAGAGGGGACACCTGTTTGAGGGAGGGGAGAGGTGGAATTAGTATGGAGGGGTGCAAGTGGAGGGAGAGGAGGAGCGGATTGGAGTGGACAGGATTATAACAGGAGGAAGGTGTAGAGCGGGCCCGGCGAAGGACCACACTCGGCCAATCCCATTCATAGCAGCGTGATTATAACGGGGTGCTAGCGGGCGGCGGCCACTCTTCTGGCCTGCCCCTCATCCTGGGCTCGTTTCAGTCACACTTTGTGACTGTAGCGATGTCTCACGCATGCTGAGCTGTCATCGTGAGGAGTGCCGTGCGAAAGTCCCCGACCGACCTGGTAGTAAGTACCCGCCCGAAAGGGCAGAACCCCCTGCATTCCCTCCCTTGACAGCTGCTTCGGGCAGCTGTGGGCTGAGACGGGCAGCTGTGGAAATTTTCTGTGGCTGCTCTGAGCTCTGCTGCTGGCTGTATAGCTGGCGCCAGGGGCAGGAGCGGGAGGAAAGTAGGTGCAGCACAGGCATGTGGTCAGTGGGGTTACCACCCACCAACAGAACGGGGCTTACTCTTGCCGTGCCCGCTTCCCCTTTCCCTGTCTTGTATGCGTGTTTATAATTCAGAAAGTTATGGATGCAGAAAAACAGACCAGGGAGATTACACAGTAGAATCTTGAGTGGTTATTGAGTGATTACACAGAACGAATCTTGAGTCTTCAGCCAGAGACTTAAGATTCGTTCTGAGCAGTGAATATTGGTGAAGAAACCACCCACACCTCAACCAAAATAGGTTTACAGAAATCACCATATGGCACGTGTACTCAGCACGGTCTATGCATACGGTATCAGCAACTAGATTGGACCTGATGTGTTACGAATAGTGATTATTGAAACACTACTGTGCACTCCTCACCGCAGCAATCGAAGCACGCACTACCGAGAATGAAAGCGAAAGGGCGGAAGTAACGCGAAAGGTCGCACGGTTACGAAAGCATCTGGACGGACGGCATCAGGCAGCAGCAGTGGCAAGGTTTCTGCCCGGACAGTTTCGTAACTGTCTGGAGTCGCACGGTTGGATTCTCGATGTAATAAGGGAATGTACCCCTTAGAGTACATGGCTAGCTAGGTCGATTGGTATTACCCTGTAATCTTATTTATAGTGCTGTATTTGCATGTTTTTATTATCTCAAGCATTTTATATTCACTCTGCTATTGAGGTCAAGGGCCCACCACTACTTAGCTGTGTGCGAACCTTCCTGAGGTGATCCTAGGCACGATCAACTTCTGATCGCAACATGGTATGAGAGCGACTCAGGAATCCTTCGCACCGCCACCACCGAAAACTTCGGCGAACGGAAAGTGGCGTCCGGCACACGCTCACGCGTAAGAATGGCCGGAGGATCAGGTGGTCAGACGAATCTGACGGCTGAAGCGCAGACCAACCCGGCTGCGACAAGCGAGGAAACGACGACAATTCCTTCCGCCGTTCTCGCACAACTGCTTCAGCGACTCACCAGCTTGGAGCAAGGACTCCAAACATTGCGGAATGGCGACGCGGGAACATCTTCCCAACTCTCTCAACCGGCCTCGAACGGCCACAAATCCGCCCCGCATACCTTCTCCCTCGACACCAATGGCTCAACTCCCAAAACTCCCCGTCCCAGCGAAGAAGCAATTCTCTCTGCGCAATCAAGGTTTTTGAGTATATAAAAAATAAAGACAAGTGTGTGCTTTGACGGCAGAGACTTCTATACGTGGAGCTTCGAGCTGGAATTGCTGCTGCAAAACGCACAGATCTTCCATTATTTCGACGGGAGCTACTCGGGACCCGCAGAAGACACCGACGACGCCAAGGCGAGGTACTACAACGAGTCCCTGGTGGCGTACGGAGTTCTTCTGCGAAATATGTCGCCGGCGGAGCATTCGCTCATACAAGACAACGCCTACTTGGCGCCACCTGAACGGCGTCTACCAACCGAAAGGACTCGGTTTCGTCGAGCCGCCTACTCCAGCAGCTACTGGAGACAAGAATGGCACCAGGGGAGAAGGCCAACAGCTACATTCATCGCTGTCGGAGCTTACGCGATCAAATCGCGAAGTTGGGAAGCACGATCTGAGGAGATCTTCGTGAACATCGTGCTTCAAGGGCTCGGCCCAGAGTGGCGGCCCTGCAAGGCGCTTCTCCGACAGCAGGGGGTCATCTCGGAGGCCGCCCTTTGCGCCGCCCTTCTCGTCGAACAACGGAATATGGACCAGCAGCGACCAGCGCCGCGACGAGACAGGGAACGCCTCGCCTTCTACGTCGATAATACGGAAGAGCGACGGCCGCGGCGCCTTTACTGCAAGATTTGCAGAAACTTTGAGCACCTGGCAGATCGATGCAAACATCGATCTCGCCCTCGCCAGACCAATCCGAGCAACTGGTCCGGACGACAAGTCGCAATGAACGACGCGCGTCCTGCCTAGGGGCATCAACCCCCACCGCGCAACCTGAATCCAACGATTCAGCATCAGCAGCAGCAGCCACCAACTGCTTCCGTTCGCAACGTCATGGGCAACATGACGATGACGAGCGGATCTCGTCGTCCCCGCGCGCGCTCACCTTCACCGGAGGAAGCATTTCACCCAATCGGAGCGTTTTCGAACAACAATCCGTTCAGCACGCGCCACGATTTCACTGACGACGACAACCAGGACTGGAACCTGCCAGTCCCGCTGCTTGAAAGCCCCCCGCACGTACCTGACGCGCGGACAGCACCGATCGACTGGATCGCGCGCGAACAATTTCTAAAAGTTGACACACCACACATCGTTACTCCGCGACTGGCGCTGCTCGCACGTAACGACAACAGGCGCTACAACACGTGGTACCTGGATAGCTGCTGTGGGCAGCACATGGTGGGTTCCGAGCGTTACATATCCAACGCCGTCGCCACCCCCACCGTCACCTATGTCACTGTGGCGAACAACACGCGCATGCGCGCAAGCGCGCAAAATCGTAGTGCTCTCAGCCCGCGGGAGCAGAACGCACATCACGTTGAACGACGTACTGGTCGTGCAGAATCTGCGTTTTAATCTCCTCTCGGCGGCGCAGCTCGTGGATTGCGGGGTCGATCTCAACACCGACCCCGAGACACGTGACATCCTGCTTCAATTCACGATGCCGGACAAATCACGCAAGCAGATCGGGCGAGCGCACTCCGAAAACGGAGTTTACATCCACGACTTCAGCATCCCCGACTGCAGCGGTGACTCTAAGGAGCTCATCGATCTCGTTCCCCTGCGTTTCGAGCACATGCATCACCGCGATTGGAAGCATCCTGATGGGCGCCCATGGGTGCCACATCAGCCACACCCGCGCGAAACGGCGCTGCATGACCTTGACCCCGACATCATCTGCAGAGATTGCCATACGCCCACAGCCTCGACGAGCGCGATCGCCGGCCGTGGCCTTGCCGCCATCGCCGAAGCAGAGCGGGAAGCGCCGCCTGAAGAAGGGCTGTCTCACCTGGAGCTCGAGACAGCCACGCGCATCGTTTTCGGAACGGAGGAAGCTCCTCTCCCAGGACCTGCATCACAACACCTTCGCGGAATGCTGCGCGGCGTTGGCGTCGGGACCTTCGATGCGGAAGGAAACCCGCGACCCTACACACAGGAGAAATTCCTGGAGGTCTACCCTCATCAGCGCGACTCTACGACGAAACTCACCGTCGCACAAGAGGAGGAACTGGCGCGCCGCGAAGTGGAAGAACTTCGCCGACGGGGCCTTGCAGAGTCACGCGGAACATTCGCCTGGAGCGGATGGGGCGAAGAAGAGAGCGCCTCCAATGAAGGGGGGTGGGGAAGCGCTGGCGGATGGGGCACGAGCGACACTGGTGGCGATACCGGCGGATGGGGCGCCGCAACCGGCGGCGCTACTGGCGGATGGGGAGCAGTCACTGGTGGCGACACCAGCGGATGGGGAGCCGCATCTGGCGGCGAGACGAGCGGCTGGGGAGCCTTCCGCGAGGACCAAAGGGGGGAAGAAGAAGAAATTGAGGAGGCCATTGAGGCCGAACCTCCTGTTGTTCCTCTTGGTCGACCTCCGCGCCGCCCTGCACCCACACTGCCCCCACCTGACATCCCGCCAGGAAGTGACCCTTGGGACACCATTGACTGGGGGAACGAACCGTCAACCCCGCGACGCACCGTCTACGGGCCTGCCCCTGAGCCGCGCGAACCAACATTCTTCCCGGGAACCATCCCTGGAACCAATATTCCCCTCTCCGTTATTCTTGACAGGGAGTTTCTCGCGCTAATGTTGACGACGGCGAACGAAGAAGAAGAAGCTGAAGAAGCAGCGGCGACACCTGCTCAAGCACCTGACGAGGACCCCGCAGACGCACTTGCGCGCTACATGCGCACCTCCGGATTCCGCGCTGACGATGCCATCTGGCACCAGCGCCTGGGTCACACCTCGCGCGCAACCCTGAAGAACTGCATCGAGGCCGGCATATTCGCGCCTGGCGCACTCCTGCGCCCTGATGGCACTGAAGTCAGAGGCGCGACACACCCGCGCAACTGCACCGTCTGCCCCGAAGCCGCGCTGAGCCACCAGCCGTTCCCCCTGCTAGAGCCCGGAACCAACCGCTACACCAAACTAGAGAAGGTGTACAACAACTTCCTCAACGTAGGACACTGCGGCATCAACGACGAACTCTACACGCTCACCTTCGTCGACGCCGGAACGCGCCACGTATGGGTCGTAAACGTGGAAGCGCGCAACAGAGCATACGAAGCATTCCGCCTGTGGTTGGCGCACGCGCAGCGGCAATCTGGGGAGAAGTTGAAGATCTGGCAGTCTGACGGCGCGGCGGAGTTCAGGAGCAAGGAGCTGCAAGATTACCTCGCGCAGAAGGGAATCGAGCACCACATCTCCCTCCCCTATGCGCACCAGCAGCAGGGCGTAGCCGAGCGCACGAATCGCACTCTCATGACGAAGGTGCGGGCACTGATGAAGCAGTCGAAGCTTCCGCCGACCTACTGGACCCACGCAATGCACCACGCCGTGTGGGTACACAACCTGCTGTCAACCACCGCGATCACCGGCAACTCCTCACCGCATATGAAGTGGATGGGGAAGAAGGGGGACACATCCATGCTCCGCGTATGGGGATGCATGGTGCAGGACCGGCCGCCGACATCAACTATCGAGAAGTTTGCTAGCCGCGCGCGCTGGGGGATCGACCTCGGCATCAGCCACGAGCACAAGGCATGGCTCATTCTGGACCTCTCGAGCCAGAAGATCAAGAACGCGCGCGACGTCATCTTCTACGAGCGGCTCTTCCTTCGGCAATTCCGCGAAGACGAGCAGGCGAACGCGAACCGCGTCTACGCCAACGACGGCCACATCTACGCCTCACCTGAGGACGAAGCCGCAGTAGCAATTCTGGAGCAGGACCCCAGAGGCGAGTTCACGAGAGGCGATCGCAATGACGACGACGACGACGATTCCCCTGGAGGAGGAGCAGGTGCAGCAAGCGGAAGCGGAAGCGGAAGCGGAGGCAGAAGCGGCAGAGGCGGAGCACCACAAGCACCACCTGAACCAGAAAGCGACGATGACGATGTGCAGGAAGTCATCCCGCAGCACCGCCACGACAGCACCATCTCTGGACTTCAATTTCTCGGGCTCCACACCGCCACCTCAACGGCGCCACGTGTCATCGGGCCGAAGAATCCTCGCCAAGCACTCACAGGACCACACGGCAAGGAATGGCGCGAGGCGATGGATGCGGAAATCAAGGCACTTGAGTCCCGCGATACCTGGGTGCTCGTCGATCGAGCGGCAATCAAGGGGAGAAGGATACTCTCCGGGAAATGGGTCTTCCGCGTAAAAACCGCAGCTGACGGGACAATCGAGCGATTCAAGGCGCGCTGGGTAGTGCGCGGCTACGATCAGAGGCACGGCATTGACTTCGATAAGACATTTGCACCGGTCAGCCGCCACACCTCCGTCAGAATTCTCCTCGCCATCGCTGCAGCACGACACCTCTCGCTCCGACAAATCGACGTGAAGAACGCGTTCCTGTACGCGTTAGTAGATGCAGTGATCTACGTGGAGCAGCCGCATACATATGGCGAAGGGGATTCGCGTGTCTGCCAGCTGAGAAAGTCCCTGTCAGAAGAGTAAGCAGAGTGAGGAGCCATAGCTAGGGTTTACCTAGCTACGCAAGAGAGAATGAGCAAAAGGAGGAGGTTCACTAGCAAGCAGGAGGATACATATAGGAAACCCTAAGGGGTCGTACTCACTACAGAGTACCCCACTGCAGGCTAGACAAACTACATTCTGACACACCCCCATAGTCAAAGCGGGGTATAATCAGCAGAGCAAGCAATCATAGAGCAGGTTCACAAGTGCAAGCAAAGCTAGAGGCATTCACAACGGGCACATGAGGAGGAGGAGGCTGGACTGTGAGAGGAGAGGAGATAGGAGGCGACGGCTGAAGCTGTAGACACACGGGCACCAGACACACTGGCATAGTGGCTACCGGGACAGCGCCCCGGACTACTGGAGTAACTGGCTCGGCGGCTACGAGGAGCGGCAGGAGCAACGGACCCACGGGCGACAGGCGCAGCAGGCTCTCTGGGCTACCAGGAATGCGCCCCGGACTACAGGTGCTGCGGACGACAAGACGGCAGCCTCCGCTCAACCTCCCCCAACTGTCCCACCCCCCTTTCCCACACCCCTTGCTGCACCCCTAGTTCCACTCCCACGTCACCCCCTTAGCACCATTCCTTCGGCTCCCACACACCCACCCCCCTCAGCGACAGCTGCAGCAGTGGGAGACGGAGGAGGAGGAGGAGCAGGGGACGGCGGACACACCCGGCACCCCCATAACCGCCACCCCCACACTCGCCACCCCCAAACCCTAAAACGGGTGGCACGGGGCAGGAGCGCGGGGGACGGCGCGGGGGAAGGCGCGGGGGACGGCGCGCGGCCCCCAGGGCGCCACGACGGGGCAGCGGGGGGCCGCGCGCGCCCCCCAGGGCGCCGCGACGGGGCAGCAGGGGGTCGCGCGCGGCTCCCCAGGGCGGCGCGACGGGGCAGCGGGGGCCGCGCGCGGCTCCCCACGGCGCCGTGACGGGATTGCGGGGGGGCCGCGCGCGGCTCCCCAGGGCGCCACGACGGGGCAGCGGGGGGCCGCGAGCGGCTCCCCAGGGCGGCGCGACGGGGCGACGGGGGGCCGCGCGTTGGATTTCCGGGCGACGCGACGGGCTCCAGGGGGGGCGACGCGTCCGTCGACGGGGGGGGACGCGCGGGTCCCCGGGGTGACGCGCGAAGAATGAAGCCGCCACGCGCCTCGGGGCGCACGGCGGGCAGAAAACTGCCATGCGCCCCGAGCGCGTGGCGAGAAGAAAAAAGCGTCGCGCGCCACGGGGCGCGCGACAGAGAGGAAAGCAGCGGAAGCACGTGGGGCCCACAGGCCAAGAGCGTAACAGCGGAAGGGCGAGGGCGAGAGGAAGCAGCGGCGACAGTGGAGGTGGGGAGAGGGGGGGGGGCGGAAGCGGGTGTGACAGCGGCGACAGTAGGAGGGCAGCTGCGGAGGTTGAGCTCTGCCTGGAGGAGGAAGGCAGAGACACGAGAGAACGACCACTGGTCGGCAGGGCGCTCACCATACAGAGTGACATGAACACTGTATTCAGGAGTGAGGCCTGTGAGGAGGAGGGCACCGCACACATGATCGGAAAGTTCAAACTTTTGAGAGGCAAGTTGGGAGGACAGCGTCTGCACACGAGCGATGTAGTCCGCCATGGTGGTGAAGTCAGCAAGACGAAGAGAGGTGAGCTCGCGTAAGAGGGCAATGACACTGATAGGAGTCTGCGACTGGAAGCGCTCGGTAAGATAGCCGAGAAGGTCCTTGGCATAGCGGATGTGCGAGCACTGAGGGAGAAGAGTTGGAGGGAGGCAGGCAAGGACGACCTGACAGGCACGTGCGTTGGCAACATGCCAGTCAGCGAGAAGGTCAGAGTGAGACGGAGCAGAGGAAATGGGCGTAGACGCAGAGCGAGGAGAAGGGGCAGCGAGGTGCTCAGTGAGGCACTTGCGGGTGCTCTCGAGGGACTCAGCAAGAATACGAGCTAAGTCACGGGCAGCAGCATTGTCAGGAGCAGCCGTGGCGGTGGCTTGCGCCGTGGTCACAAGCCGCTCAGTTTCAGCAATGGCAGCACGGAGGCCATCAGCATAGGGGTCAGAGGAGGAAGAGGTGGGTCCAGAGGGAGAGGTGGGAATGGCGCCAGAACCACTCTGCTGAGTGACAAACCATAGGTTAAAGCCACTCACGAGGGTGCCAGACAGCGTGCGCTCGAGACAGTTCAGCCAACTAGGGAAGTTGACTGCACTACCATCGGGCGCAAGCTGAAGGACCAGCAGAGGGAGGGAGGGGAGGGCGAGAGAGGTCGCCATGAGGAGGAGGAAACAGCTGCAGAGCAGATGTGGGGAGAGGTGTAAGAGGCGGAGGAATAAGGGCGGGGTAGTCTGCTGCTGAGCCGCTGAGGGGAGAAACAAGAGGAGGAGGGAAAGTGGCGGAGTAGTCTGCTGCCGAGCCGATGCGGGGAGAAACCAGAGGAGGAGGGAAAATGGCGAAGTAGTCTGCTGCTGCGCCGATGAGGGGAGAAGCCAGAGGAGGAGGGAAAATGGCGAAGTAGTCTGCTGCTGCGCCGATGAGGGGAGAAACCAGAGGAGGAGGGAAAATGGCAAAGTAGTCTGCTGCTGCGCCGATGAGGGGAGAAACCAGAGGAGGAGGGAAAATGGCAAAGTAGTCTGCTGCTGCACCGATGAGGGGAGAAACCAGAGGAGGAGGGATAGCGGCGGAGAAGTCTGCTGCTGTGCCGCTGAAGGGAGAAACAAGAGGAGGAGGGAGAATTGGGAAGAGTGTGCAGTTGAGCAGTTGAGAGGAGGATGTTGAGGAGGAGGGAAGGTGAGGAGGAACAACAGCTACACAACATAATCAGCTACCAGCTGCAGCAGATGAAGAGAGAAAAGAGGTGGAGGAGGGGTGAGATAGTGGAGAGGGAACTAGTGGGAGAGAGGGGAGGAGGAGGAGGGTGAAGGGGCGGATTGTGGAAAGGGCAGGGCGCGCCACAAGGAGCTACGAGCCGCAGCAGATGGGGAGAGAAAATAGGAGGAGGAAGAGGTGAGGTATTGGGGGAAGCACAAAGGAGAGAGGGAAGGAGGAGGAGGGTGAGGGAAGGGGCGGATTGAGGAAGGGCAGAGCGCACCGCAAGGAAGGGCAGGCACGCGCGCTGCTGGACGGTGCTTAGCGCGCGCGGCGGCAGGAGCGCAATGCGCGCGCGACGAGACAGGGAGGGGGGAGGGGACGGCTGAGCGCGCTACAGGCGGAAATCGCCGTGCTACCGTCCGAAACGTGAGGAGGAGGAAGCGGGATGAAGAGGGAAGGTGCGGACGGATGATCTGAACGGTAGAGAGGCGCGCTTCGGACTAGATTAGGGCACCCGAGCGAGTATAATGAAGAGAACCGCGCGGATGCTAAGAGTGACGGGAAAGAAACGAGAGGAAAGGGAAAAAAAAAAAAAAAAAAATCGTATAGCTAAGTAGCGCGGAATACGGCCTAAGGGCCGGAGATTATCTAAGAAATGCGGATGAATATGAAACGCCTAGGACTACGCTCTGAATACCATGTTAAGATGAGAGGAGCCATGGATGGCGAGAGAGTCAGGTAGGGTCGAAAAGTTGAACTAGGAAGAGAAATGTCGAGGTACAAAAGAGAGATGGTTGGAAACCCTAATTGAACCTAGGGTGTGTTCGGTTTGTACTAAAAGCTACAAAATGAACCTAAAATGAACCTGAATGCATAACGCTCTCTAAGCATGGAGAAATAATATAAGAACACCAAAATAAAGACCAGAGCGAGCTCTAGCCTACTCCAACTGCGGGGGGCCGCGAGCGGCTCCCCAGGGCGGCGCGACGGGGCGACGGGGGGCCGCGCGTTGGATTTCCGGGCGACGCGACGAGCTCCAGGGGGGGCGACGCGTCCGTCGACGGGGGGGGGACGCGCGGGTCCCCGGGGTGACGCGCGAAGAATGAAGCCGCCACGCGCCTCGGGGCGCACGGCGGGCAGAAAACCGCCATGCGCCCCGAGCGCGTGGCGAGAAGAAAAAAGCGTCGCGCGCCACGGGGCGCGCGCCAGAGAGGAAAGCAGCGGAAGCACGTGGGGCCCACAGGCCAAGAGCGTAACAGCTCTGATTCCATGTCAGAAGAGTAAGCAGAGTGAGGAGCCATAGCTAGGGTTTACCTAGCTAGGCAAGAGAGAATGAGCAAAAGGAGGAGGTTCACTAGCAAGCAGGAGGATACATATAGGAAACCCTAAGGGGTCGTACTCACTACAGAGTACCCCACTGCAGGCTAGACAAACTTCATTCTGACAGTCCCTTTACGGGATCAAACAGGCACCGAGACTCTGGCAGCAGTACCTGCACAACATACTGCTTGAAATTGGGTTCAAGCAGCTGCCTCATCATCCTGGGATGTATCGCCGTGATTTCCGCGGCGAATACATCCTACTCACGGTCTACGTCGACGATCTCCTCTACACAGGGTCAAGCAACGAGTTGCTTGAGCAATTCGAGAAAAACCTCGCAGGGCGCGTCGACATCACCTGCAATCATGACGTGAAGCAGTTTCTCGGACTCAACATTACCTACTCGCCGGAAGCCATTCATCTCTCAGCAGCCAAGTACGCAGAGGAGCTTAGCAAGCGCTTCAACATTACGCCTGCACCACACTCCACCCCTTACCGCACTCCAGGACCCAACCACAAGCCTGACAACAAAGCCCTGTCCCCTGCTGGGCTTCACACCTACCAGCAGCAGTTGGGATGCCTGCTCTTTGCATCTGTTACCAGCAGCAGTTGGGAGCCAGTTGGCTCAGTACTCTCGCAAACCAACGGCTGAGAACCTGTTAGATCTCCAGCGGGCACTTCAGTTCTTCATTTCCACGCCCAATGTTGGGCTCTGCTACTCCACCATCCCAACCTCGTCCTTCAACCTCATCGGCTACGTGGACGCTGATCACGCCGCTGACCCCGACAATCGACGGTCCAGGACAGGCTTCCTTTTCCGCCTCGAGCCCAGCGGCCCCATCTCCTGGAATTCACAGAAGCAAGAGCTGGTTGCCCTGTCATCAGCAGAGGCTGAATTCATCGCAGCAACAGCAGCCGTTCGCGAAGGCCTCTACCTTCAGGAGCTGCTGCAGGAGGCAAAAATTCCAGCCTCGGCGAGCTTTCGCCTGCACTGCGACAATCAGAGCGCGATCAGGATCGCGAACAAGCCGGGATTCGTCAACCGCACCAAACACATCGCGCTGCGGCTTCTTCGTCAAGGACGAAGTTGACAAGGGTAAGGTTGACCTAACCTACTGCCCTATGGGTGACATGGCAGCTGACTTCCTCACGAAGAAGCTGTCACGTCAGCAGTACCAGCACTGCTACGAACTCAGCGGGGTAGTCAAGCGGGTCAAGACTCGCTACGGCCAGGAGTGAAGGGGGGTGTTACGAATAGTGATTATTGAAACACTACGGTGCACTCCTCACCGCAGCAATCGAAGCACGCACTACCGAGAATGAAGGCGAAAGGGCGGAAGTAACGCGAAAGGTCGCACGGTTATGAAAGCATCTGGACCGTCGGGCAGACAGCATCAGGCAGCAGCAGTGGCAAGGTTTCTGCCCGGACAGTTTCGTAACTGTCTGGAGTCGCACGGTTGGATTCTCGATGTAATAAAGGAATGTACCCCTTAGAGTACATGGCTAGCTAGGTCGATTGGTATTCCCCTGTAATCTTATTTATAGTGCTGTATTTGCATGTTTTTATTATCTCAAGCATTTTATATTCACTCTGCTATTGAGGTCAAGGGCCCACCACTACTTAGCTGTGTGCGAACCTTCCTGAGGTGATCCTAGGCACGATCAACTTCTGATCGCAACATGATGTAACAATCATCCCAGGAAAGATGTCCCTGATCAACACTGCCACTTCTTCAGGATCTGTTGCAATTTTCTGGAGCCACTTCAGTCCCTTGAGCCATTTGACACCCTCAGCCGTGATTTTAGCATCCCATAGACCCAACCTGTCCAGTCGTTTCATACTCCTCAGGTGCTTCATGCCAGAATCGGTCACCCCTGGAGGGAGAGTGAAGGCCTTCAGAGTGGAAAGAGCAGTCAAGTGCTGCAGCCCATCCTCCCTCACCCCACTGCCATACAGTATGAGACGTTCCAGAGATGTCAGTTTTCCCACATCCACCATGCTGGCAGAGGTGATCGAGGCGCACTCGCCAAGCAGCAGTGTCGTGAGTGCCGGAAATCCTTTCAGCTTCGCTACTCCAGCATCGGTTATCTTGGTGTTGACTAGATCAAGTGTACGAAGTTTTGTCAGGCGGGCAACTCCGTCAAGAGCTGCGTCGGCTATGGCTGTGCCGCATAAATCCAAACATTTGAGTCCAGTGAGAGAGAAGAGCTGTGTCACCCCCGCTGCAGTGAAGCCGGAGGAGTCTTGGAGGCTGAGCCATGTGAGAGAGCGCAAGGAGGCCACTTGTGTGAGAGCGTCGTCGGAGAGGTAGACACCGCCGAGGTCCATGCTAGTCTTACCTGGAGCAACTTTTCTCCACATTGTCATCAGCGCCTGCAGCCACGTGCAGCAGCAAGGTCAAAGATGGAGAGGGAATGGCATACGCGGCGCCAGAGAGACCTGATTGTTTGTACAGCGAGGTTCGGACATCAAGGTTCGGACAACGAGGTTCGAACAACAAGGTTCGGACAACAAGGTTCGGACAACAAGGTTCGGACAACAAGGTTCGGACAACGAGTAGGAAACCACACATGCGAGGTTCAGGTCGTATACGATTGGCATGCATTTTTTACTTCAAAATCAACAGTCAAACAAAACGCTGCTGGTTTGCCGGGTCAGTCGGTAATAAATGAGAATCGACCATCCTGAAAATTACACTCACCTCCCATATCTTGTTTCCTCCAGCGCATGTTTCTTCTAGCGCTTCCACTTGCGCCTGCAGTCCCTGCTCCTCATCCTCCTCATCATTCTCCTCCTCATCATTTTCCTCCTCCTGCTCGTCACCCTCCCTTTCCGCAGCATCCACCTTTCCTTCGGGCGCACCGCCAACAGCAATAAGAGGGCGCAGAACCGAAGGAGCATCCGCCATCTCCTCCTCCTTCCCCGCCTCCGCGTCGTCCCTCTTCCGCCTCTTTTCCCCGCACCTCTCCGCCCCCGCGTGCTCCCCCGCGCTGCCCTCCTTGCGCTCGTCGCGGTTCTTCTCCGCGCAGCCGTCGCGGTCCTTCAGCGCCGCGAGCGCCAGCTCGACGTCGTTGATGCGCGCCTCCGAGTGCGTCGCCGTCGCCTTCACGTACGCTACCTCCGCAGCCTGGCGCTCCGCCGCAGCCATCATCCGCGCAAGTTCCGCCTTCAGCGCGCGCATCTCCCCTCGCATCTCACTCGCCTCCCCCCTCGCCGCTTCCACCTGCACCTTCACGGCCTCCACTTCAAGCGCAGCAATGCTATTTCCCCGTGCTCCTTTCAGCGGCTGCGCGCCAACGCCCTCCGCTGCCTCCCCCGACGCACTCCCGACCCAAGCAACATTTTGTAAAAGGCCTTTTCCCGCCTCCCCCCCCCTCACTCTTCTCCGCCAAAGCGCCCGTCGCCGCCATCCCCTTGAGGTGGGCCATGGCGCTTCGCATTTCAGCCATGTCGCGCTTCAAAGCAGCCATGGCGTCGCCCTGCTCTCTCAGCTTCGCCTCCAACGCCGCCACGCGCTCCCCCACGCCGCCCGCCATCTCCTCCATCTGCACCTTCAGCACCATGCCGTTCACCAGCCTCAGCTCCATGTCCCGCGGTGTCGTCGCCATTTTTTCTTCTAAAGGCTAACCCGCCTCAGGCTGGAAACCCGTTTGGCTGTACACTGCAAAGAACGCAAGTATATGCAGAGCTACTTCTGAGTTGGAGAAAGGTGACAAGGATGAAAGTGACTTGACTACGCAAAGGAAACGTGAAACAACTTCAATTGCTTATGGAGATATGTGGCGCGTCAAAGTATCGCTGGGTGTGTGTTTCTTGCTTTGCTTTCCGCAGAATCGTGGTGAGGTGACCAGGGCTGTCGCTTGGTCTGGGCCCAACCCTTACGAAGCTGAGCTGGCCCGAAACAAGCCCTGAAACATCCGGACAGCAGTCGAATCTAGCCCTTAAATTCAGGCCATTTGGATTCCTGCACTTAGCCACATGCACCAGAAAGCTAAGTAACTCTAGGTACGGACTCTACCGATCAGAGCACGCTGGTGCGGGAGAGTAGAGATGGCTGGGAGGTTGATATGAGGTTCTCTTGATACGAGGATAGGAATACGCTCTAAGAGAACAATTTGACATTAGGAACCATATTGGAAGGTGCTACTACAGCACAAGCACAATCCTGGTTATATTAGCGATTGAGCCAAATCCACATTATGAAAACCATCTTGCAAACATGCCTTTTTGCTTGCCACTGTGTTTTAACGTCACTTCATATTCCTGTAATTGCCGCAAAAACCCAATGTTGGGCTGCACTATTGGTCGGCACTGCCGCACATGGGATAGAGCTGTTCTCAGGTCCCACCCCTTGGTCTTCATCATATATGCAATCACTATCGTTGCGCTCCGTGACATGCCTGTGTGACAACACCAAGGAACAGGGGGGAGGTGAAAAGAGGACATGAGTCTCACTCTGCACCACGCATCACGGGATCAACCCCTCCTTACCTGCTAGACAATGCACCAGCACGCCTCCAGCTCTCCTGCCCTCCTCAATGGCAGCGAAGCAACCGTCAAAGTGAGAAACTTGATCCACGTGCATGGCACCCGCCACGTGCACCCGCGTGAACGAGAAGGTATCGGGGCATTCCCGTTCAGCCTCTGCACCACGCACCAGGAGATTAACCCTTCCTCACCTGCCAGGCAGAGCACCAGCACGCCTCCAGCTCTCCTGCCCTCCTCAATGGCTTCAGAGCACCCTTCAAAGTGGGCAGTGAGATGCACGTGCATCAGCGTGTATGGGAAGGTGTCGGGGCGTGCACAAGCGTACAAGAGAGTGCCTCACCAGCACGCCTCACCTGCTAGACAGTGCACCAGCACGCCTCACCTGCTAGACAGTGCACCAGCACGCCTCACCTGCCAGACAGTGCACCAGCACGCCTCACTTGCTAGACAGTGCACCAGCACGCCTCACCTGCCAGACAGTGCACCAGCACGCCTCCCGCCTTTCTCCCCTCCTCGATCGCAGAGAAGCACCCCTCAAAATGGGAAGTTAATTCCACGTGCATGGCATCAGCCACATGCACCAGCGTGTATGAGAAGGTTAAGGTGAATGTGAATGGATATCAATCAACCCTTCCTCACCTGCCAGACAGTGCACCAGGACGCCTCCTGCCTTCCTGCCCTCCTCAATGGCTTCGAAGCACCCCTCAAAGTGGGAAGTCAAGTCCACGTGCATGGCATCAGCCACATGCACCAGCGTGTATGAGAAGGTGAGAAAGGGTATAGCTCTTCTGACGACTCACCTGCCAGACAATGCACCAGCACGCCTCCAGCCTTTCTCCCCTCTTCAATCGCAATGAAGCAGCCTTCAAAATGGGTAGTCAAGTCCACGTGCATGGCATCAGCCACATGCACCAGCGTGTATGAGAAGGTGTCTGGGAACGGCGGCGCGCCCGTGTCGTTCGCTACAGTCACAACGCTCTTTATCCCCAGCTCCAGCAGCGCTTCCCTGCGTGCGTGTTATGGGGTCAATAAGACAAGAAAAACATGCGGTGGATGGGTGAGAAAAGCAGGATTCCCCTATTGTTCGCTACAGTCACAACGCTCTTTATCCCCAGCTCCAGCAGCACGTCTCTGCGTGATTGGGTCAGGTAAGAGGACAAACACATGCAGGCAAGGGTGAGAAACACAGGATTTACGTGTCATTCGCTACAATCCCAACGCTCTTTATCCCCAGCTCCAGCAGCGCGTCTCTACGAGTGATTGGACCAGCTGGAATGAGAAAAGCATGTGGGTATGGGTGAAAAAAACAGGGTCCCGTGCCATTTGCTACAAACACAATCATGTTTACCCCCTGGTGCTCCTGTTAAGTTACCATCAATACCAGGTGCAGAGTTACCAGGTGTACATGGTTACCTGTTTGAGGCGGAGTTCAGGCTTCCCAGGTACAGCCCTTCATCGATTCTATCCGGCTTTTGATACATAAACACGGAGGAAGGTGATGACACGAAGAAGAAATTACAATGCCTCATGGTTACTCACTTGATACACCTAAAAAACACATTGTTACATGGTTACCTGTTGGAGGCGGAGTTGAGGCTTCCCAGGTACAGCCCTTGGTCGATTCTATCCGGCTTTCTGTATTGGAACACGGAGGAAGGTGACGCTGTGAACACGACGGCTCGCGGTTGCAGGGGGATCTGGAGCTCCGGCGTCCCCTCCTCTGCTTCTGCCGTCAAGCCTCCCCCAGACAGCACCTCCTTTTGAGTTGGCTCGGTACTGGTTGCACCTCCCCCAGATAGCACCTCCTTTTGAGTTGGCTCGGTACTGGTTGCGCCTCCCCCAGATAGCACCTCCTTTTGAGTTGGCTCGGTAATGGTTGTGCCTCCCCCCAATAGCACCTCCTTTCGAGTTGAGTCATTAGTGGTTGGGCCTTCCCCCGATTGCACCTCCTTTTGAGTTGCCTCAGTATTGGTTGCGCTTCCCCCGGGTAGCACCTCGTTTTGAGCTGCCTCAATACTGGTTGCGCCTCCCCCGGGTAACACCTCGTTTTGAGCCGAGGCGACGGCAGTTGCGCCTCCCCCGGATAGCACTTCCTCGAGAGTCGACTCTATAGTGGTTGGGCCTTCTCCCGATTGCATGTCGGTTAAAAGGTAACTGAGAATAATTAGTATTCCTCAGCAGGAGGATGCCAGAGCTGCTACAGCCAGTTATAGAATCTTCTCAGAACTGATTTTGCGCAGCAGACGCATGAAAGGTGTTATTGGAGACGATATCTGTCAATCAGTTGTGGATGATGCCAGTAAGACGTTAATCGCCAATCGACGATAGTGAGAGAACGTTTACCGGTGAGCGTAGCGATTTCTCCTACAGACAGAGGTTAAATCAGTGATGTTACACCAATGAGCTGTCATATGTTACAAGTGGAACTCCGCTCCTGGAAGTCCTATCTGTCAGCCTAGTGGGTCGACAATTGTAACACCTCGCTACCCACTGGGTCAAAACGAGGGTGTTATTTGGCGCAGCGGAGTGCCCTTAACACAGCCCACAGGCGTTACACTCGTCCCCCCCTGGTGCCAACGTCCCCGTTGGCCCTGGACTTCAGGAAGTCGGCCCCCTGCCACTGGGACCTAGATTTCGCAGTGCTGCTGGCTGCGACTTCGCTGGTTGCTCAGGCCAGCGGAGGATCGTTCGCTGGTTTCGAGCTGGTTACAACCGCACTTCAGTTCTCGCCAAAGGCGGAAAGTGTGGTCCAGCCGGGATTCGAACCCTAGGCTCTGATTCCAAATGTAACACCTCGCTACCCACTGGGTCAAAACGAGGGTGTTATTTGGCGCAGCGGAGTGCCCTTAACACAGCCCACAGGCGTTACAACAATAATCACGTAGTAAACTTTATTTCACTCAAATGAGTCGGTTTGAAAGTACTATTTTAGACGGCAGTCGCACGCAATCGTCAAACGTGTCTACGAAGAAAAGCTCGTCGCAAGACTTGTACGACTGCGGTTTGGAAGTCCGCAATTATAAGAAGAATGGAACTGTAGGCTAGCACTTCGTTTCGTTATTCGTGTTTTACTTAGGGGTGGTTGATTGCCACCGCGGCGTTGAAACAGACGTTGGGCGATACAGGGTGCATCACCGCGCCTAAGCTCCTCTGGTCACCCTTCAGAGTCAGTCTTACATCAGCGGAACTCGAAACTCTGGCGATGTTATACGAAAACTGTGCAGAAATGAAACGTAGTAAGTCCTGAGAGATGCTTACCTAACCTCGATCACAAATGACAAACAGCAGAGGTTGTTTCAAAGAGAATCGGGTCTGTATGTGACACTTCCAGGGACCAGACGCACATCGGGCATGCAACGAGCAAAAAAAACCCCTAGGCTCAGAAATCCAATCACGGCCTGGGGAACGGAACTTCAGGAATTCCCACTCCATTTATTATTTTCGCCACCTTAGATTTTGCCAGAGCTTTGGAAAACCTTGAGCAGAATTTGTTCACACTATATATCGCGTTCGTTCAAGAAGCCAGCTCGTACCTTCCAGACAATATGCCTGACGTTTAGTCTGGTCATACGAAGTGGCCACCCACTGACTTCCGAAGATTCAATAGCATCGTAGGATCGTTTGTCCTGTCGTAGCGAGCCCTTTACAAAAGGCAATCGCATTTGCTGAACCTGGTGGAACCTTCATAACTGCACGATTTGTGTGAAAAAACATTCAGTACATGGCTCAGGATGCGACGAATTCGGACGATGGCGCGGGGATCGAGGTAGCAGACGATGCGTCTGTGCCGGTGGTGGTGGAGAAAACGGGAGAGGGTGTGAAGTTCGAAGAGCATCAGCTCCCCATTGACATTGCGTACAACAAATTCGCAGGTACCGCGTTTCTCGTATGACTAGATAAACGACGACTGACACCGACTGCCATTAAGGCGACTTCTGAGTCTGAATCAAGAGCATCAGCTCTCCATAGACATCGCGTACAACAAATTCGCTGGTACCGCGTTTCTCGTATGACTGGACATCAATGGCTGTCGCCGAGTCACCGACGGACATTGATTTTACCTCTCAGTGCATATTCTCCCATCCCAAAATCGCAGGTACCGGGTTTCTCGTATGACTAGATAAACGACTGTGACTCCGACTGACATTGACTGACATTAGCATGATTTTTCTCAGTATGGATTACTTTTATGCATAATTTCTCATTGTATATGCACTCAAATTATAATATGTCAGTGTATATCCCTTGACTGAATAACCTCTCTCCCCTGTCCCACACCAGACTGGCTGGTGGATAGGAAGCGGGTACCAGCTAATTGGAGGCAACGAGTAGCTGCCATTCAGCAGAGAATCACCAAGCTGGTTACCACACTGCCACGTCACCATGATCCCTGGCTGCAGTCGCTCTCCGTGGATGGTGGGTACATGGGTGCATGCATGAATGTATGCATCATGCATGGGGCATCCATGTGTACATGGGATATCGATTGGTCCATGGGTGCATGCATGGTACATGGGCCTGCTCGAATCGAGAATCACATGATAATAGAGGAAGAAGCACTCTTGCAGCTGTCTGTTAAGTTGTAAGGCGACACAGAATGATCATACCTTGCATTTGTATGTATTCATAAAAAACAAAACTCTTAAAGTTGCTCTTTCTTCCCTTATTTTGGTTTGCAGACGTGGGGTACGTGGAGGCGAAGCGAGTGAGGGACATTCTTGCTGCTGCTCGCCCCAGCGAAAGAACAATTTTTGGCGGTCTTGCTGGGCCTGCGGTGAGTAAGGGATGAGTTGTGCATGTGGGGTATGTGGAAGCGAGGTGGGGTACCTGGAGGCGAAGCGAGTGAGGGACATTCTTGCTGCGGCTCGCCCCACCGAAAAAAACAACCTTCGGCGGCCTTGCTGGGCCTGCGGTGAGTGCTCCGAAACACAAGTGTTAGATGTGCTGAGTGTTCAGGACGTGTCAAGGATGTGCGGACGATCACTCCTTAACACTTCAGGGAGTGTACGCGAGACGTGTCAGTGACGGAAGGATGTGTCAGGGAAGAGTCGAGAATCTGGCTGTATGGTGCTGCAGTTATCTGAATCAATCAGGGTAAGTGGGTGGGATGCTGTGATGTTCTTTCATGCATGCGCGCTTCAGGCGATTAAAGTACTGAGTTTCCATCTCTCATCCTTGTGGCCCCACTACCTCTCGTTATCTCATACCTTGCTTGCATGCACCAGGGCGAATGGGATCTAGTGGTTTGCACATGCGAGCATGCGTCTGAGGCAATTAACGAATTGAATCCACATCTCTCATCCTTGTGGCCGCACTACTTCTCATCCCTTGCTTGCATGCACCAGGGCGAGTGGGATGCGGTGGTTACGAGCGTGACTCTGTCTTCTGAGGAATGCAGCTTCGATGCTGGAGCTCAGTCCTCGCTATCTTTTATCCCTGTGGCATGTCCTCTCTGTCCCTCAACCTCTGCTTGCTTGCACCAGGGCGAGTGGGATGCGGTGGTACGCACATACGAGCGTGACTCTGTCTTTCTGGGGGAAGCAGCTCCGATGCTGGAGCTCAGTCCTCGCTATCTTTTATCCCTGTGGCATGTCCTCTCTGTCCCTCAACCTCTGCTTGCTTGCACCAGGGCGAGTGGGACGCAGTGGTTCGCACATACGAGCGTGACTCTGTCTTTCTGGGGGAAGCAGCTCCGATGCTGGAGCTCAGTCCTCGCTATCTTTTATCCCTGTGGCATGTCCTCTCTGTCCCTCAACCTCTGCTTGCTTGCACCAGGGCGAGTGGGATGCGGTGGTTCGCACATACGAGCGTGACTCTGTCTTTCTGGGAGAAGCGGCTCAGATTCTCGTACACAACACCAACTACGACATGTGAGAAAGGGGCCACTCTGAGGGAGGAGAAGAACAGGGGGTTATTTTAGAGGAGAGGAGAACAGGGGGTAATTTCGAGGGGAGAGGAGAACATTGGGTAATTTCGAGGGGAGAAGAGAACAGGTGATGTCTCAGGGAAGCAGCTTAGACTCTCGTGCACAACACTAACTAGGACATGTGAGAATGGGGTTCACTGCGAGGGAAGAGGGAGAGCATGTTTTTTATCTTGAGAAACTTGATCGTCAAATTCCTGTTCACAGTGTCAAGTTGTCAACAAGGGCATCTTGAGAAATTCTGCACTGTTCTTTAACTGATGAACACCCTTGATGGAATTTGAGGGGTTTTTCTGGGATGGCCTTTCTGGCAGAAGTATAAGGCGCGGGCTTAGCAGTATTGCTCAACTGCTGTAATCTGGCCGTCGCTGCTGCTGCTATTGTTGTTGCTGCTGCTGCTGCTGCTGCTGCTGCTGCTGCTGCTGCTGCTGCTGCTGCTGCTGCTGCTGCTGCTGCTGCTGCTGCTGCTGCTGCTGCTGCTGCTGCTGCTGCTGCTGCTGCTGCTGCTGCTGCTGCTGCTGCTGCTGCTATTGTTGCTGCTGCTGCTGCTGCTGCTGCTGCTGCTGCTGCTGCTGCTGCTGCTGCTGCTGCTGCTGCCACCAAGGCCTTCTGAGTCGACTCAACACCATTCTCACTCCCGTTCCGCCTTTCTCCTTCCCCACTCCCAGCCCCTACTGGCAGAAGCACAGGGCGAGGGCGCAGCAGCAGCTGGAGGAGAGCAACAGGAAGGAGCTAGACTGCCGCAGACTGGCTGCTGCTGCTGCCAAGGGGTTTCAGCAGGCGTGCTCTGACCTGGGAATCAAGGTAAGGTGTTTTACATGTCCTGTCACTCTTTACCTGCTGCTGCTCTTCTTGCCGCTGCTGCTGCTGCTGCTTTGAGATATGCTGAAATTTCACATCTCGCAAGTTTTGAGACATTTGAAACACGTTCAGGACTCCTGCACTCGGTGGTGGGCGTTGTATGTGGGGAGCCTGTGGGGTAGGCGTGCTCTGAGCCTGTGGGGCAGGCGTGCTCTGAGCCTGTGGGGTAGGCGTGCTCTGAGCCTGTGGGGCAGGCGTGCTCTGAGCCTGTGGGGCAGGCGTGCTCTGAGCCTGTGGGGCAGGCGTGCTCTGAGCCTGTGGGGCAGGCGTGCTCTGAGCCTGTGGGGCAGGCGTGCTCTGAGCCTGTGGGGCAGGCGTGCTCTGAGCCTGTGGGGCAGGCGTGCTCTGAGCCTG